ATTTCATAAAATGAAAAGCAAAATTTTTGGGGCAATTTTTCGGAAAACATAGATTTTTCGAGTTTTTGACAGTTTGTCAGTATTTTCCATTTTTCTCCGTCAAAACTTTGTTTAAATCAAAAAATAATCAAAAAATCCTGAAATTTTGAATTACCGGCGCCTTACCGTCTGAAGCACGAACTATTACGTAAAAAGAATGATATTTCCTTCGTTCAAGAGTATATTAGCTATTCTTCTGTTCTACTCTGTTTTGTACAGAAGAACCGCATAAAAAAAGGCAATGTATTGACAGCGGTGGGATTCGAACCCACGCCTGTTAAGACTGGTGCCTAAAACCAGCGCCATAGACCACTCGGCCACGCTGCCTATTTGTAGAGTCAAACCAACGAGATGATGTTAATTTGCTTGTCTTTCTCAGAGGAAGTAAGTCTTCTAAGACAGATTGTTGAAAACAAAAAGCAGTTAGCTGAACCTTGCCAACAAAGAGAAAGCACGTATTAGACAAAGAGTTATGTGAACAGAAGAATCGCTTTTTCTTCACTTATCACCACTTAGTGAGAAGTGTCAGGAAACGAGATCTACCCGATCTTGTGCATTTTCTCATTCACCTTTTCCGTTTAATAATTATTGAAAGAGTGCGCATCTTCACTCTGTTTTCCTTTCAAGTATTTGTTCTATATATCGCTAAAACATGGATATTTCTCTAATCATTGAAGAAAGGGTACATTTCGGCAATTTCTACAAGGCAATTTCTGCAAGGCAACTTCTTTTTAAGTCTGGTGATCACCATCAATTTGAAAATTATTGCTCCATCACTCTACTTAGTACTATATCTACTTGAGCCTATAATTTATAATCGTCTTTATAGAGAAGAGAAACCACGTATCAGACAAAGAGTTATGTGAACATAAGAAGCGCTTTTGTGAAACTTCCGAGGACATGTCCGATTTCCGAAGGAAATGGAACTTTGAAGTATAAAGTTTAGGTACGAGTTGAGGCAGTTTGAGAACTTCAAGAAAATGTTGGCCTTAGAAAACTGGTATCACTGTAATGGCCAATGTAGTCAAAAGCGTCAATAAACCGGTGACTTTTTAGCGATTTTATCGATTAATACCAATTAATCGGCGCGGTTTTAGTTTAACAGTTAACTGGCTTCTCGGTTCAAAGCTGACTCAAGTGGAAACCAAAAGCTCTGGGAAAACTACAGAGAGCACTCTTTCCAGCTTCGTTTTAAGCTAAACTGAAAAGAACATTTCTTGTTGAAATCGTGTATTTTATATACGTACTCTACTGCAGAATAAAACTGTGACTGAATAACGAAAAACTAATTAATGGCTTAAAATTAACAATTAATCGCAATTAATTGACGATTATTAAGAAAACAGAAAAATCAGCAGGATCGCTAAGTAATCATAATTAATCTGCGATGTTTTTAAGGATGACGACTTATCGGTGATTTCAACAACTGGCGATTTTTCACACAAGCCGATTAATCACCAGTTGTTAAAAATTGCCGATATATCGCAATTTATGGACGATTATAGTCAAAATTACCGATTTTATTGCTAATGGTAAGTAATCGTCCACAATGGGGCGATTTTAACGACATGGGGAAGCAGTAAATCATCAGTGAAAAGGTGAATCTTTGAATTCAGATTAAGTCTAATATCATCAATGTAAAAGAGAAATGAAAAGGAATCCAATATGCTACTTTGTCAACTGATTATACGCTGTAGTCTGAAAGTTTGATAAAGTTTTATGTACTTCATAATATAACAGAATTAGAGATGAGATTTTTAGTGAATCACAGCTAAAACTGCTACAGATATGTCTGTAAAGTTATACATTGCCTTCCTTCTTCAATGTTCTATCTTTAGTATATAGGTGGACTCAATCAAATCTTTATTTGCGCCTCTGTCAACAAGGTGGAAAAAGATGAGGAATAACCGTTAACAAATGATTATTCAAAATACACTGGTATGCAATTATTAGTTTTTGAATAATTTACTGTGCTAAATTGTAGAGAAAATATGAAACAAACAATAAAATCAAGCTATTTCAAACGTTAATTGAATTGAAAGAGACAGAATGATGCAGAAAGACGGTTCGTTTTAAATACATACATAGTTTTATGTTTTGTTGTCATCGTCACTAAATATTCAATTAAAGGTTTTGTTAAAACAAAACGTTTTTTCTTTACCTTTTCAAAAGTATTTGTTCTTTTTTTTCTTCCATCTATTGTTCTACATACAGTATATAAACGTGCTTCTGTACGTCATTTACAAATATTTTTCTTGAAAAATGGGTTGTAGAAAATCAAAAATTTTACCTGTTATTGATTTGCAATCCACTCGTCTGGGGAGTAACGTACCGCTTGGTCAACAAGTTGACAATCATTTTATTAACATTGTTTCAATTGATTACGACTCATCTCCGACAATTGATGATATTGCGACAATTACGGCACTGTTAGACACTAAAACAAATCAGATTGATCTTCGTCTATTAGATGAGAGTGCTTATAGTCAAACTTTTCGTCAACAACGACAGAATGTCATTGATAATCAAATGTATCGTGAAATAATTGATTCATGGCGACCAACATCAATTCAACAATTAGTTGATAATATGAAAGATTTATCGAAAAATAAGACAACAATTGAGAAAGCATGGGTTATATTTTATTGGATTGCATGTAATATCGAGTATGATGTAATTTCGTATTTCAGTAAGAATTATGCAGATCAATCGGCTGAAGGTGTTTTTCGAACGAGAAAAGGTGTTTGCGCAGGTTATGGTAACTTGTACAAGAAATTAGCCGATAATATTGGTTTGCCATGTGAAACTTGTGGTGGATATTCAAAAGGTTATTCGTTTGAGTTAAAGCAAGCTAAAGATAAAAAAGAAACTGATCATGCATGGAATGTAATTGAAATTAACAATCGTTCTTATTTGATAGAGTCAACATGGGCAGCGGGATCACTGGATACTTCAAAACATTTCGAAAAAGAATTTAATTCATATTTCTTCCTATCACGTCCCGATGAGATGATTTATCATCATTTACCAGAAGAAGATAAATTTCAATTATTATCTCATCCAATTAGTCATGAGCAATTTTTAATGTTACCTAAAACATACCCAGCCTATTTTGAGCATCAAATTGAAGTACTCTATCCAAAATTTACGCCCACCGTCACTTTGCTCAATGGTAAATCATTTACAATCATTATGATAAAGACACCAGCTGATGTTGGAATAATTGCTGACTTAAAATTAAATGACACTGTCGTGAAAGGCGGCGAACGTGTACAGTTTGATAAGAGCAGAAGAATCTATTGTTGTTATTTTGCTCCACAATCAGTCGGTTTCCATAAGATAATGATCTATGCTAAACGAAAATCAACAGATGGTAATATTTATTCGAGTGCAAGACTGGTCAAAATATTACGTATTATTATGAAGTCATTTTGAGGTATAAAGAACTAAACAAACGCAATAAATGAATATAATCTAATTGAATTTGACTTAGATATTTCTAAAACACTGGACAAACCAATAAGTTATCCTAAAACGACATCAGTATATTTTGATCTTGAACTAGAGCTTATAAATCCGAAAAATCAATACTCTATACAATTAAAAAATATGGAAACAGAAATTTTAATTAAATCACCGAAAAATGTTCATCTCTCGGGCAAATTGAAGACCTTTGATGATCAAGAAATTTCTGGTAGCGATCAAGTGTATTATGACAAACAACAAGATGTTTGGAGATGTCGATTTGCACCGCCACGAAATGGAAAATATAAGATTTTAATTTATGCTAAAAAAATAACTGATACTGGTACATATCCGAATGTTTTAGAATTTGAAGTTGTAGCCACAAATTTGACATTGCCCATCTCCTATCCAAAGGTGCGGCAACTCTTTTTTGATTATGAAATGCAAATAATTCAACCGACAAATCAGTATGCAATCAAGAGTTCTGTTCAAACAGAAGTGCTAATTCGAGCAGCGAAAAATATTGAATTAATAGGCACACTAACAACATTAGATGAGGAAAAGATCCCTGGTAGCGATCAAGTGTATTATAACAAACACCAAGATGTTTGGAGATGTCGATTTGCACCGCCACGAAATGGAAAATATAAGATTTTAATTTATGCTAAAAAAATAACTGATACTGGTACATATCCGAATGTTTTAGAATTTGAAGTTGTAGCCACAAATTTGACATTGCCCATCTCCTATCCAAAGGTGCGGCAACTCTTTTTTGATTATGAAATGCAAATAATTCAACCGACAAATCAGTATGCAATCAAGAGTTCTGTTCAAACAGAAGTGCTAATTCGAGCAGCGAAAAATATTGAATTAATAGGCACACTAACAACATTAGATGAGGAAAAGATCCCTGGTAGCGATCAAGTGTATTATAACAAACACCAAGATGTTTGGAGATGTCGATTTGCACCGCCACGAAATGGAAAATATAAGATTTTAATTTATGCTAGAAAGATAACTGATACTGGTACATATCCGAATGTTTTAGAGTTTGAGCTCCTTGCTGATAATGTGACATTACCCATCTCTTATCCAAAGACGTGGCAAAGTTTTTACGATTATCAAATGGAAATTATTGCACCAAATAATAGTCGTTACAGCGTGTGGCCAACAAACGGCTCTTATTCTGAAATATTGCTAGGTGCACCCGGAAATATTGAATTATCTTCTGACATCAAACAAGGCGATCAAAAATTAGATAATGGTAGTTTAATACAATATGATTCCACAAAAAATTTGTATCAGTGTTTATTTGCTCCACGTAATGTAGGTGAACATAAACTGACGATTTATGCAAAACCAAGTAGCGATACATCAGCGTCACGTTTATCAGCTGTTGAATTTGACTTAAAGGTGACTAATTTAAAACGTCCAATTATGTTTCCACTGATTTATACCCAATTTAATGTTGATAAATGTAGAATATTTGAACCATTGAATGGTGTTCTAAAACAAGGATCAAATGTTCTGATTCATTGTCAAATACCAGATGCTCAAACTGTTAAATTACTTGTTGATAAAAAATGGAAAACTGTGGATAGTTATGAAAATAACATTTTAAAACATCAGTTAAAATTGACAAATGAGCAACAAGTAAAAATCTGTAGCCAACACAAAAATCAGGCAGATTATTCTGGTCTCGTAGTATATGAAGTAAATTAAAAAGCGTACTTCACCAGTTTTTCTTTAAAAGACCAAGAAAGTGGAATTGTATTACTCTCCATTTCATAATCAAGATCTCACCATATCCCTTTGTGACAAAAAAATGAAATTTTGTGTTGTTCTATGTATAAGAGACCTAGAATCCGTTCCTCAAAAGAAGAACTCTTGGAAGGCGTAATTATACCACTCTTTTCATAGTTATTAAACATCTTTCGCATTCACCAAAACACATCACCATCTGAGTTCAAAAACAACACATAGACTAGCACTAAGATAACACTATGTGCCATTTAAACTGTTCATCAAATAACTTCTCTATATATAACATCTTTCGGAAAAACACATCACCATCCCCATGCATCAAAAAAAAATCTAGTATCGCCCGATTCATCTAGATTACTAGATTTTTACTCGATTGCAACTACTGTGAAACGACAGTGGAAATCTAGTAATTGGGCGATTACTCGATTTTTTCTAGTTACACCTATCCATTTATCGCCCGGTAATCGATCGATTCATCTATTACTAGTTGCGCCTGCAGACGCATCTAGTTAAAAGTCCCTTTTCCAACTAGTAATCTAGATGACAACTAGTCGTGTATCGCCCGATTACAGAAGAAATGTATCTAGATTTTTCTCAGAGGTGATATTTGCTTGGGTCTGAGTTCAAAAACAACACATAGCTTAGCACTAAGATAACACTATGTGCCATTTAAACTGTTCATCAAATAACTTCTCTATATATAACATCTTTCGGAAAATATCGATTCACTCAAGGAGGTAAAGATCACAGCTGATCATACGTATTGTAAACTGACTGAAACCTGCGACCTGCTCAAACAGCTTGCAGTTTCCCTAGCAAAAATCATCTATGGGAAAAATCTAGATACATTTCGTCTGTGATCGGGCGATATACGACTAGTTGCCATCTAGATTACTAGTTGGAAAAGGGACTTTTAACTAGATGCGTCTGCTTGTGCAGCTAGCAATAGTTAAATCGACCGATTATCGGGCGATAAATCGATAGTTGCAACTAGAAGAAATCTGGTAATCGCCCGATTACTAGATTTCCACTGTCGTTACCCAATAGTTGTAATCGAGTAAAAATCTAGTAATCTAGCTGAATCGGGCGATACTAGATTTTTTTTGATGCTTGGGTTATTCTCTCTTCGTTTTCTCGTGCACTGGTAGCTAAAGAACAAACCTTTTTTCTCTACACTCCCTGCAGGGAAAAGGAAAAAGGTATTTTGTTTCGAGATCCAAAATAGCGAACAGACAACAGAAAAGTATATTAGAGTAAATAACAGAATGCTCCCTGAAGGATAAAAGAAGAGTAACTAGTAGTGGTAGTAATAGTTTGTTTGGTATATATAAGAGACCGAAACATGTCAATTAATTGGCCAGTAAAAGTCTGTTAATTGTATGCCAGAAAATGGCCTGTGCACTGTGTATAAATCGAATAACAACTGCCATTTAACAGACATTGGAATGGCTTTTTCCGGACTTTACATAACAGTGAAAACAATGCTAGGTTATAGTCAATGTCCGAAAAAATGTCATTTTCTTTTGTACGCACACTATTAAATGACGTTTTCGTCCATTTTTCTAGACCGGTAACTAATGTTAACTAGATGTGCATGTTAAATGTCCGTTTGGAGGCAGTTTTTCTCCATTTCAAAACCGCAAAAAAGTGCTTATAAATTAGCATTTAACAGGCAGGTTAAGGTCACCAAGCCATTCACTATTCTATTTTGCCATCATAACTAGTATAAATGGTACGAATTTTCCTAAAGAGATTTAGAATTTTCCTCTTCTTCGATTATATAAGTCATAGAAATGTCTCGAGGAAGCAGTCTATGGTTCCAGATTGGGTGCTGATGGTAGCATCTCAGCCTTCAGAAGATATTAAATGGAAAACATTTGTTAAATAGTGTTTTTGTCGGTATTAGTTTAAAAAAAGTCGTACCTAGAAAAGGCCGATAAAATTGATAGTTAACTCGCAAACAATGTGTAAAAATGCCCTTAAAACCGTTGCCATTTAGACCGTCTTTGCCATTTAAATAGATGTCACTTTAAGGCATTAATGGTAATGGTTAATCGGGTCACATTACGACCCCTCGAAAAAATGGTCCTATCGAGCTCAAATTTCTGTCACAGAGATTTACGAAAAATGCTGAAAGTCAGTGAAGAAAACTGAAAAAATCTGACTTTTTTTGCGTGTTTTTCAGCATTTTTCCTATACCTTGAGAAGGAAAGCACATCTTTTGGAAACAAAATTTACATTTTGCGATAGGGTCTGAAGTCTCTGTGGTAGCAATTTGAGCCTGATAGGACCATTTTTTCGAGGGGTCGTAATGTGACCCGATGAAAACTGGAGTTTTTCAGAAACTCATATAAGAACCTCTCAGAAAATTCCGAACAAAACTACATCCATTTTCTTTTTCGATGTTCTATCTCAGCTATAAATTGGAGCTCAATCGGAAGTGTGCTCTGCTTTTGGCAGCAAGGTGGAAAAAGAGGAGGGGAAGCGTACCCTTAAAATATTCCCAGTTATAATGGCAAAAAGCCGCCAAATAATGGGGCCGAATGCCAAACTAATGCCATTTAAGTGTTTGTTAGTGGCATATTTAAAAGAAACTTAATCGACCAGTAATAAGAATATATTCTCGCGTTCGAGAATCAAGGTTCAGTTGTTTTAAACTAATCCGTTTGATTATTCCCTATTTGCTATGTAGATGTACATGTTGCGTGTGTATGTCGGCATTACAACAGCAGTCAGAAAAAGTAACAAACCGACAAAAGAAGGCGGAAGATTTAAAAGATCTCTTTAAGAGAGAAATCTTCAAGAAAACAAAAAGTATAACTTTTCTTCATTGTCGTCGTAGGACAGGCTCTATTCGGCGTATAAAATCAACTACAGTTCACACAGAAAGCGGCGAAGCCCTACGATGTTTGAAAACCGAGTGGGACACGGTTTTTCACTTGTTGAGAACTACAAATTCCATCGACGTCTTTACAGAAACTAAAACTGCAGATCGGTACAGCAGATAAAATACTGCAGAAAAAACAAAAAAGATTTTCGTTGTCTCACCTAGAGAGAAAAAAAATGTTACTGAAAATGAACGTGCAGAAACCACTAGGGAAAGAAGAAAAAACGAACCAAAAATAAAATGCTTTGCTTACCGTATACTAAAAAAATAGAAAATAGATCTTCGCAGGATATATATAGTCAAGTGTCCGGAGTAAATGGCATAAGTATCCAAAAGTTTCGTTCAGTATTACCAGAGAATCAGGTACGTCCATGAGCTTAGGTCAAACGAAGCAAAAATCATCAGAATCACTCACCGATACTGCAAAATAAAGTACATTAGATAAAATTTATCGTTCGAATGATCTATCAAGGGAACAAAAATATTTTGATTAGTTGTCCGAGGATGAACTGAATTAAGTTATTAATCAATTATTCAGACAGTCAGAAAAAATTCTTTCGTTATTTAACATGTCGTTGATAATTGTGAGCAACCATTTAGTGGGATCACCACATTCGTTTTTAACAATGATTATACTACTGATGAAAATACTCGTCACTCTCAACCTGAGAATGTTCCAGCACTATATCGAGTGGAAAAGTTGATCATTCTGACTGTTGTCTTTATTTCTCGTGTTCGATCATTGATATTCGTATATCACGTCTTTAATATATCTTTCTTTGCACTGAATATATTGTATCAAGTATATAATCTACCACTTTCGACTATGAAATTAATAAATAATCAGCTTGCCATAACAATATCAGTACGTGCTGCATCGGTCATATCATCTTTTCTCACGTTCCAGCATCGATTGGTCATCAAAGAATTGAATATAGATTTTCAAATAATATATTCAAAATTTTGTGGATATTTGGTTAAAGATTTTTGTAAAACTTTGTTTTATGCAAAAAATTTAGAATGAAAAATATCAATATTTTCGCAGAAATAAAATTTTGTATAAGTTCACGACAAAATTATGTGTTAAGCGACTTTTTTTGCAAACTTTTTTGTATAATAGTTGCTGTTTTCTGCATTCTTCTGTTTTTAACGCAGAAATCCTCCAAGAACTAATCATTTAATCGATTTAGCGTGAAATAACTGATAATAAAATAATGATAGAATAAGTCTTGGAATAGCGGCGACCAGTAGAACATACTAATTTTCTTTAAATAATTCCACTTTATTAATCACTTCACGTTTTGAAGATGATTAATAAAATGGAATTATTTAAAGAAAATTAGATAAAAGTTGTTCAGGTGGTTGAAGAAATACCAGTGTAGTCATTTTTGACTAACTACATAAGCGCTAAGAGAGTTTCGTATTTTCTAGATGTATTCGCCTCATCTTATAATCAAGAGCTCACTTTAGTTTTACTTAGTAATTAGCGTATGTAGATAGAAGCTGATACAGCTCGATTAGAAAGACGTATTTTGTAATATTCAGAGCTAAGACTATGAATCTTAAATTCTACAGCTTTTAAGTACTCCTGCAAGACAAGATATTGAATATTTTGGGTCATAATTCATACACTATCATGTTCAGATACATAGATTTATTATTAAAACGGACAACCTTTGTCTTCTTTGATTTTGCAATCGTAAATAATACTGACATATTTTTCATCGTATTAAATCCATTTGACATTTTACCATTACTAATCACTTTGAAAGAAAAAGAAGAAACAACTACTTATTTAAAAGTATCGGGTGCACATGACCACTGAGCACTGGTTAAGACAATCGTGGAGATCACTCGTGATAATATTAAAAAATGTCATCAATCTCTTGTCAATTGTATGACAGATTTAGACTCGTTTTCAACGTAGAGCAAAGCGAAAGAGCATTATACAGCTGAGTAGATGTAATCAGAGTGATTAACACAACCTATTATTAGCCTCGGTTTCTGTATATAGGTATACGATGAGTCCAAGTGGAAGACCAAAAGAACTCTGTATGATGCCGCTTAGATAGAGACATTGTTAATGACTACTAATGATATGGATGACCATGCCCGAACCTTATCAGCTGTAGGACAGATATCGGGCTATTGAAGGCTACTACATCAGTATCCTGCAAATAGTCCTAAGTCGAGATATTGTCTGTTTCATATGTTATTCTGTGCAAATGCATATATATACCATTAAAACGAAAACGAATAAAATTTTTTCTTCTTTCTTTGGTTTTGTAATCGTGAATAACATTGACATATTTTGCATTGTATTAAATCCATTTGATATTTTATCATTATTAATCACTTTAAAAAAAAAGAAGAAGCAACTACTTATTTAACAACATCGGACACACATGATCACTAACTGGCTAAGACAATGGTGGAGGTCACTCGTGATAATATTAACACCTTTGCTTTTACTTCCTCTCCCTCTTATAGAAAAATCGGATGTAAGTTGGTACTTATATAATATGCATTTGAAAGATGTACTACTAAGAAGTTGTCTCAATATTGCGTTTTGTTTTTTCTTTCAGCAAGCAAAGTGTGGCTATATTGTGTTAATCTTGATCATATATTGGGCCACCGAATGTCAACCACTACCAGTCACATCTGTTTTGCCTCTATTTTTATTTCCAATGGCTGGCATCATCAAAAGTTCAGAGGTAGCTCTAAATTATTTTCAGGCAAGTGAGAAAGGAAAATATAAACAGGAAAAAGTGAACATATGCATTTTTTATAGGATATTATTACGTTATTCCTCGGCGCCTGTTCACTGGCCTACGCCATTGAACGCGTGAATCTTCATAGGAGAATCGCTTTATTAGCGTTGAGTTTTACTGGTTCGTCCATTAAATGGTCTGTGTCATGTCGAAAAGCATCTCTCTTAGCTATGTTCATTAAGTTTTCTTCTTCAAAGGACCATGGGCGGTGTCATGATAACAACAGGTTTTCTTTCCATGTGGATGAACAGGTCAGTTCACTAGTACACTTTTTACATGCTCTGTTCTATTATATAAAGTATTATTTTAGTATAGCGTGTGCATCTATTATGCTACCAGTGGCAGTTGCAATCGCTAGTGAACTCGAAAAATATTATCAAATACACAGTTTTACAGGTAACAATATACAAGCACGACATGTGTTGTCAATAAATAATCGTGTCTCTATCTACTTGTTGCGTACTGATATCAGAGTTTCATTTAGAAACAGAAATGGCTGCAAATAATCATCCATGTATTAATATAAACCAACTTGAATTAGATGAGTTGTAAGTAAACTATAGAGTTGCGTTTATGTTATAAAACGTATAATAACACATTATGAAGGATTGATCAACAACGGTCAAGTGTAAACAGTCTATCTAAAGCAAAGACAAATGAGATAAAAAATCTAAATAAAGGTATGCTACGTTGCTAATATCAGCATCAGCTGCTAACAGAATTATTAGTGGTCAAATAATTTTTGGTTTTTTTCAAGGTTTTTTGTTAGCAACAGCATATAGTGCATCGATTGGTGGATTAGCAACATTAGTTGGCTCTGCGACAAATATAATTGCTAAAGAATTTGTGGATGAGTGAGCAGTCTAAAATACACTTGAATTAAGTATCACTCTGATTTATCTCTATTTATTTATTCTAGCCATTATGCAAACACGACATTCAGAATTACATTTCCTAATTTTCTTCTGTTTGCTCTACCTGTCACCATTATTATGTTGGTGTTCACGTGGTTTTGGTTGCAGATTTTATACAATCGAACAGAGTTCGTACATTCGGTAAAAAAATATATTAAACTTGTTCAAGATCGATTTATTTATATGTTCTCAGACTTTTTCAATGTCGACCTAATACTGTCGTACATGAAGCACAGAAACAAGTTCAAATGGCATTGAAAATACAATACAAACAACTTGGACGTGTCAGGTTTGTTAAACGTAATTCATTTCTAAACACAAATAAATATGTCACTTATCATATATTTAGTTGGAGTGAGGGAACAATTGGTTTTCTATTTATAATTCTCTTGTTACTATTGATCACTCGGGATTTCGGTGAAACTCGCGGTTGGAATGCCATATTTCGTCTAAAGTAACCAACCACTGATAAATTTACGCATTCCATATGTAGATACTGTTCTTTTTTCTCTCATAGTTATGTAACAGATGGCACAATTGCAATATTGATCGGCATTTTACCGTTAATTTGGCCCTCTACGTCACCATTCAAAAGTAATGATTATATTTAAACTCTGTTTCTTCATCTTCAATAGTTCTTACTCTACTCTCTATAACAGGAAATTGGAAATATAAACCGATTCTTACTTGGACTGAATTATCTTCAAATTTGCCATGGGGAACTCTTCTTTTGTTAGGAGCTGGCCTAGCAATAGCGGAGGCGTTTCAGGTAGGTAATATTTAAAGTAAAGTTAGTTCAATTAATCGTACTTGATGAGTTAGGTTTCAAATTTGTCGTACACGGTGGCAAACTTTTTAAGATCTTTAAATAATTTATCCAAACCGGTAATGATCTTGTCTATTATTATAATTAGTGGTTTGTTTACAGAAGTTGCTAGCAACATTTCAACTGGTAAGTTTAACATTGATTTTTGACTAATTTAATTTATCTCATGCAGATTATTTTAGTTAGCATATTTTTTCCTGTTCTTGACATTGTGGTATGTAAGTGATTAGTTAGGGTTTTCAAATTTGCTGTTTACTATCTACTATTACAGGCACGTACAGCAAATATTCATCCAGCATATGTCATTCTACCTTGTACTTTATCAGTTTCACTAGCATTTGTGTTTCCAACCTGTGAGTGTAATAATCGAACTTATCGACGTCTTATCTAATGTCATCTTTTTCGCTAGCATCAAATCCTAATTCTGTGGTCTTTGCAAGTGGAACGCTCCATGTGTGGGATATGGTGAGATTGTTATCTTAAAGTTGTACAAAATATTTCACTGAAAAAAAGATATCTTTCACATTTTAGATGAAAGCAGGGATTGTAATTAAAATAATGGGATTTTGCGTAGGACTTCTGGCAGCTACAACTTGGATGTTGCCTATTTATAATGTAAATGAACAATTTTTATTCAATCAGACCACAACAACAATGTCTTTCAGTTTATCTCTATCTTCAACGTCTAAGATGTAGATTTTAATCGTTTTCTTCTGTTTTCTCCTCTGTTTTATGCTATATTAAATTCTTGAACAATTTGTCTAATGGCTGTTAAAAGCTCATCTGTTTCTGATCGAAGAAAAGTTTTGAGGCGCTGTATTGGATTAGCATTAAATATCTACTGTGAAAACAGAATTCTTTTTCTTCAGTTATAGTGCTGACCTGCATAACACGAGTAATTAACATACTATATTTTTGTGTGCAGAAAAACGAATAGCAAACGTTAACTTACAAAGATTCATCTAATAACTAATAATCACTATAAAGTTAAGAGTGGATCCATGAAACGACTAATCAAGTGACATAAGCCGTACATTAGTTGAGTTTTGTTTCAAAGTGTTTGAAGATTTTAAACAACTGGAAAATTATACGCGATCGATATACGAACTGATTTCAGGAGTCTATTTCATTTCAGTTTTGTGAAAAGTTCTAAATATATAAAGGATGCTATGAACACTGTATGTACTTTTAATTAATTTTCAGTTAATAATTGTAGCATACCTAGAGAACGTGCTTGATTACTTGCTAAGTACTTGGAAAAATTAGCAGGTGTTTTCAAAATTTCTCACTTGCCATGTACTTTCACAAGTATTTCTCAAAGGTAAAAATACTTGCTTTTATTGCTAAGAAAAAAAAAATCGAAATCCAACAAACAACTGATCTTAACGTCGGTGAACTCTTATGTAGGGATCTATATAAAGAAAGAGTGAAAAATAAAAACTTTTCATACGAGATCTCTCAAAATAAAGTATTTCTTAAGGTAATGACATACTGATTTCACCATGCTTTACCTGGTTTTCTCTTCGGGAGCATAATGCTTTAGTCTTGCGTTAGAAAAGTTAAAACGCAGATATAAACTAAAAATAGATTAAAATCAGCGGTTGCTTGGATAAGACAAGTTAGGATCGCTCGCCACTATCTATTTACATGAAAACTATACCTACGCTTAGGAAAAAGGGTTTTCTTTCTGGACTTCAAACATAGAATAATGTAAGTTCACAAAGTGAATATTAAGAGATAATAGAGAAAAGCTCGAATAATATTACGTTGAAAGCAATCCAAGTACTTGCACTTTTACTTGACAAGCGCTTGAACTAGTGCTAGCCAAGTAAAAAATCAAGTACTTACTCGCTGGACAAGTACTTACAAGTAAATTTACTTCTGGAAAAAAGCCAAGTACCGGCTTCATTATGCAGGCGAAGTACTTATCCCAAGTACGTTCTCTAGGGTAACTGTAAAAGAATTCTTTTGTAATGTGCATCATTATAATCTCTTACAATGACCGACACACTGACGTTCATCTCTCTGTCAAAGTTTGCGGCAATTAATTTTTTAACGTTTTGATCTCCCCTTTTCGCCCGACTTTCTCGTCATTACAATAATTCACAAGGCTTAAAATCTTAGATCGATAAGTTAAGTCTCTTTCTTCCTTTCATGTCAGAGTTGATATCTCCCAGAAAAGTTTTTATTTGAGACAGTTTGCCTCAAGCACACTATGGATGCCACTGGATCAGCAGATAAAGTTTTTCAAACACCTTGAGCTTTTAAAAGTGTCATAGTTCATCCTGATGTTTCTTATTATGGTTTCTTCATATTTTGTAGCCTTGTTTCACGGTTTCAGAACAAGTATATGGACCATACTATTTAAACCGAGCTAGGTCAAATTCACAATGACTAAAGTAAAAAGATATTTCATGCTCGTTTCATGCGATAAGATGTGCGTTATTATTAAGATACAATGATCATCTAACATCTAATACGAAGTCTTCCCTTCACACGAAGATATTCCCTTGACTTTAGTCTAGGGTCTTACGAAATGGTTGTCTGTGTGTCTAGTGGGCGTTAATGTAAATTAAAAGCTCTTTCTTTTGAAATAGCTTCTGGGTTCGGCACTCCCCGAATACAGAAAGGTGTCGCTATTCGTCATAGGGAGCTTTCTATGGCAACAAGTAGAATAATGGAACGTTGAAAGGAAAAAAGCGGAATAAGCCACCTTTCGAGAATAACTTGAAAGAAATTGATCGAGTAAACCTGTTTTCTTGTACAGTCTCCCACGGCGGTCTTGATATTGAGTAGAAGTACGTTGAATGCACCTTTTTTAATTGCGTTATCTTCGTTTATTATTTAGAGTTATTAATCATCCGAAAAAATTACAGAAAATATAAAAATCTTAGTTATACAGAAAAAAAATCACGTATGATCACAAAAGCATGGGTATAGAAAAAGAGAAACAATAGGAAAAAGTACTGAAATAACTGCATTCACATTTGCGCATAAACCACCTGTTCAGAAGCGACTGTTTTCATAGGGTAATACTCTGAAGTTCTAAATCATCATCAAGAACATTATAATGAGATAATCGATACTTGTTCCTGTGCGTTCGTGGACCCTTCTTAATAGAAATGTTCTTGGTTCAAAATAGGTATCGGCTCGCTAAAAGAAAAAACGTAATACGTGATATGTTTACGAACCAGAAACGCCGTCTTACTTCACAATCAATGACAATGACCTCTTCCTTTTCGATAATATTTAACATTTTCTCAAATTGGGCCTCATTTTCAATATAAATTGCCCGCGGTAAAACGATCTGATTGGATTTCAATGTTTTTGACATCACCTACAACAAAGAATATGCCGGTGTTTCCAATAAATAGGGTACAGAGCAGAAGTAAGGTATACAGCACACTACCTTTCACAATTTGCAAGAAAAAATTAAGAGCTATGTACGATACCCTGACAGCAAATGATTCACGTCCTTCTCACCATATATTCTACCTTCTGCACAGATTCAATAAGCGTGCAACTAAAAAACAATACTAACTACTGTTTGTACTAACGGAATTCAAATGACTAATATATCACCACTTTATATGTAAGCTAAATGAACAGAAATTGGGATTGAATTGATGAACGTTTATGACTTTTTTCGAGAATGTGTGATCCCGTTTTGTCGCGAATATCTTATTGGGCTTTTCTAGTTTGTTCCGAAACAGCACGTGGGATTTATTTTCCGCGTGTGTGAACTAGGTGGGAACGCAGTTTGCTCTCGTTCCCACCAAACATCAGAAACGATGATTGCTTAGGCAGTTGTTTTTCTGTTGCCAGTCTGTCGCAGGGTCATTATCATAGTCACTTGTAGAAGGAACTGTTAGAAAAGTGCTTGTTGTCTGTAAACAACTTTTTTCGAAAGTTGTTTAATGACCCTAGGTACGTTTGATTTTTGTCTGAAATCTCCACCTGGCTACTCTTTGCGATTGCGGGTTGGCAGGAACGCGAGATAAGGAGACCGGAATAAGTCACAATATCAGCCCTCAGTCTGCAAGCAAAGTCGTTATCGTCTTTTAAGACAAGGATCTCAGTGTCATGGATAAAGTATGACATTGTTGACACCGTAAGAATGTGATAATACCATTCTAAACACATAATAGTAACGCAATAAAAAGATCCCATTTTTGCATCATACTATCTTACTTTTAGTGTGGCATTGTCACACATTTACTGTAACATTTTAGTAGAGTGCGAGGTGAAATGAAAAAGCTCTTAAATCAGAGGCTATCTCGTGCGTGGAGGAGTGTTTGGTAACACTGAGTACAGTAGTTGTGTTGCTACTGAATGAAAAATTAGGAAGGCAGATCAATTCATTCATTTCTTTATTTTTGCTCAGTTACATTAACATGCATCCTGTGAGTTTTTGACGGCAAACAAAGACCGCCGCTATTTATCGTAAACATTATACACGATATTGGAGAATGTTACGTTTCTGAAAAGTAAATCTGCCGAAGTTTTGTCTTTTCAATTCTGAAGTCCCTTGTTCATAGTTCTTTTGCGCAATAATTTTCTTTTGATGAAAGCGTGTCACAGAGAAACTGATTAAAGTGCATTGGTGGATTCACATTCTGCTAATGATTCGATGAGTCATCGATGGTTGCGACCATACCATACCGCTGCAGAGAGACAAAAAGCTAAGCAAACGTTTTCTGTAGACCGGTGATAGATGTCGCCAGAGAGCAGCCAACTGTGATAATACAAGGAAAGTCGGCTACGGATACTGTAACTTACAGTGTATAGAAAATCTATCATAGCGAATCGATTGAAAATAGTTCGAATCTCCTCAGGATCCGTAAAGAGTGTCCAGANGGCTGCGAACGCCGACCGAAGGGAGGCGTGAGCATTGCTGTGAGTTCAGAAATATTTTTAGACTTCTGGGACTTTTTGCCTTGTATATTTACGAACCTTACACATGAAAAAAGAACAACATCAAGAAGATGGCTTAGTCAGGACCCCAGCGAGCGCCGACCGAAGGGAGGCGTGTGCATTGTCTTCGATTTAAAAATCACAAAAGCGCGTTCAGTAGCGCAGATCCAGGTTATTAAAGTCAAGGGACCGAGCGAGTGGAGACGAGCGTTACCTTGTTACTTCTCATATAATTTAAGAAAATACTTTTGACTATATACAATATCTGCGCTCGAAGATCATGCTAGGAATCATGCGACATCTGTTGAAGTCCAACGACATTGTACGAATTCTTATTCAACGAACAATAAGAAAGCAACGAAAAAGCGACCATTTTTGACAGGTAACTTCTTTCCATATCTTTCGTTTAGTACGTGGTCAGACAGATAAGTGTATCCGCTTTAATGTCACCAATGCACCCAAATATCAGAAATTCAGTGGATGAAAGTTTTAAGTTTAAACAGACCATAAATAATATTCCATTTCCTCATATTTCTTTCTTCTGGCCAAGCACCGTTACTGAGATATTCGCTGAGGGCACCACTAAAGTGCAGTGTCGAGGACATGTGTGGTGGTGCCCTCAGCGAATATCTCAGTAACGGTGCTTGGCCAGAAGAAAGAAATATGAGGAAATGGAATATTATTTATGGTCTGTTTAAACTTAAAACTTTCATCCAGTGAATTTGAGGATCACTTTTCTGATATTTGGGTGCATTGGTGACATTAAAGCGGATACACTTACCTGTCTGACCACGTGCCAGTTCAGTCAAGTTCTTAAGGTTTTCGTTAGTCTCTGAAATCTTTTTCTAAAAACGAATGTCACTGCAAGGCTTAGCATGACTGATTAGCTGTAATTCACCCATTTTCCAAGCTATCAAGAGACATTGGTTACCAGTCCCGATCCAAGAAAATTCTGTATTAGAAACAAAGTAAAGTTGTTTATAAAGATCAATGAAAAGGCCGTAACAGGACGTTTCCACGAGCGACATTACCGCGAAAACTTGTTTATTGGAAAAGAAGAATAAATGAGCCTGGTTTTGCACCCAGGCCGTGAAGAATGAGATAAAAAATGAGCCATGAATGATTCATTTATGTGTCATATATGGCTCATTTTTAAATCATATCTTTCCCATATTTATCTAATTTATTGTATCATAATATAGTCATAATTATGTCATTTTTTTAATGGTATAAATATCATCTTATTATGGTCATCAAAATATGAGCCTATTATGATCCTGTTTAGATCATTTTTGGCTCATTTTAAGACTATTTATGAGATAAGAAATGCAAAGAAGAAAAAATACGAAACAGCTC